ATGGTCTCTTTGGTACGTCCCTCCTCCATTGCCAGCCCTCTTCCTTGTTGACAGTCTTGGATTTGTTGGAATCCAATTGGAGTTGGAAATGTTGGATTTTATACCTGGATTATTGAGCATGGACTGTGTTGTTTTCAACCAGTTTGATAATAAAAAATATAATATAAAAATAATAATTTGACCTTATTTATGTGAGGAGCAGACTGCTTTGAATTTAACGCCATCGTAGAACTCTCATCTTGAGAGACAGTGGAAAGGAAAAACTCCCTCATGAGGAAGAAACCTTTAGCAGAACCAGGCTCAGGACAAGCGACCATCTGCTTCAACCAGCTGGGTTTGAGAGGAACAGGAAGGAGGAACAGATACACAATGGCAGGTCAAGAATCACATGTTAAGATAAAAATAGCAGTATCAAGTGAAAACTATTTAATTTTAACAATTCATTTAAGGAAATGAGGTAAATTTGTCCTCTAGTAGTGTGAGATGACAGCATAACAAGTCAACACTAACTATAGGATTTATCAAAAAGATAAGTCTAAAGTCCACTCTTAAAACTGGACAATGTGTCAGTCTTACAGACAGAAACTGGAAGTTGGTTCCACAAGAGAGGAGCCTGATAACTGAAAGATCTTCCTCCCATTCTGATCTTGGAAACTCTAAGAACCACAAGTAAGCCTGCAGTCTGAGAGTGAAGTGCTCTGTTAGGAAAATATGGAACAGTAAGATCTCAAATATAAGATGGAGCTAGGTTGTTCAGGGCTTTGTAGGATAGAAGAAAGATTTTGAATAGTGCAGGTAAAAAACAAACTCAATTCCACAAGCAGCACACCCACATAGCGGAACAACCAGTTTGCTGGTGATAAAATGGTTTCTGGGGCCCACCCTCTCCCCTGTCGACTCCTATGAGGCAGCCATAGCCAAAGTGGTGTGTGCTGCTTGTAGGACTGAGTTTGTTGTGGCTCTTCGGACTGATGAAGTCATTTGGATGAAGGACGAAACATCTCAACAAAAAAAAAGAAACTGTCCAGATGACCTGACTGAACGATGTTGGACTAAAATAGGTTTTGAAATAAGAAAATGTAAAATAAAATAACTAAGTGAGGAAAAGAGAAGCTATCCTGGCCAGTAAGAAATATATGAAGATAAATCATTAATATGTGCTTGCAGATCCAAAGACATACATAAAGATGAAGAAAACAAACGCGTTCCCACATTTACGAACATTGTCAGATTACGTGTGAAGGACCAGCGGAGATGGCAGTCATACTGCAGTAAAGGTCCAAGTGTGATGATTTTTGATGTTTTAATCCAAAAAAGTTTAATCTGGTCCTCTGGACATTCAAAAAAAAAAAAAAAAGATTGAACTTTTTTGGATTTTTCTACCTGGATTATTGAGCATGCATCAGGATATTTTATGTTTTAACTTTAAATTTACTGTTTTATTAGCTTTTATTTTTTTACTGCTCAAGCAATGTATAGCATGTTAATGTAGAGTTGTGTATACATTGCCTTGCGAAAGTATTTGGCCCCTTGAACTTTTCAACCTTTTGCCACATTTCAGGCTTCAAACATAAAAGATATAACATTTTTATTTTTTGTGAAGAAAATACAAAAAGTGGGACACAATCATGAAGTGGAATGAAATTTATTGGATGTGTCAAACTTTTTTAACAAATAAAAAACTGAAAAGTGGGGCGTGCAATATTATTGGGCCCCTTTACTTTCAGTGCAGCAAACTCACTCCAGAAGTTCAGTGAGGATCTATGAATGATCCAATGTTGTCCCAAATGACCGATGATGATAAATAGAATCCACCTGTGTGTAATCAAGTCTCCGTATAAATGCACCTGCTCTGTGATAGTCTCAGAGAGCATCATGAAGACCAAGGAACACACCAGGCAGGTCCGAGATACTGTTGTGAAGTTTAAAGCCAGATTTGGATACAAAAAGATTTCCCAAGCTTTAAACATCCCAAGGAGCACTGTGCAAGCAATCATAATGAAAAGGAAGGAGTGTCAGATCACTGCAAATCTACCAAGACCTGGCCGTCCCTCTAAACTTTCATCTGGAACAAGGAGAAGACTGATCAGAGATGCAGCCAAGAGGCCCATGATCACTCTGGATGAACTGCAGAGATCTACAGCTGAGGTGGGAGAGTCTGTCCATAGGACAACTATCAGTCGTACACTGCACAAATCTGGCCTTTATGGAAGAGTGGCAAGAAGAAAGCCATTTCTCAAAGATATCCATAAAAAGTGTTGTTTAAAGTTTGCCACAAGCACCTGGGAGACACATCAAACATGTGGAAGAAGGTGCTCTGGTCACATGAAACCAAAATCCAACTGTTTGGCCACAATGCAAAACGATATGTTTGGCATAAAAGCAACACAGCTCATCACCCTGAGCACACCATCTCCCCTGTCAAACATGGTGGTGGCAGCATCATGGTTTGGGCCTGCTTTTCATCAACAGGGACAAGGAAGATGGTCAGAATTGATGGGAAGATGGATGGGGCCAAATACAGGACCATTCTGGAAGAAAACCTGTTTGAGTCTACAAGAGACCTGAGACTGGGACGGAGATTTATCTTCCAACAAGACAATGATCCAAAACATAAAGACAAATCTACAATGGAATGGTTCACAAATAAACGTATCCAGGTGTTGGAATGGCCAAGTCAAAGTCCAGACCTGAATCCAATCAAGAATCTGTGGAAAGAGCTGAAGACTGCTGTTCACAAACGCTCTCCATCCAACCTCACTGAGCTCGAGCTGTTTTGCAAAAAAGAATGGGCAAGAATTTCAGTGTCTCCATGTTCAAAACTGATAGAGACAAACCCCAAGAGACTTGCAGCTGGAACTGCAGCAAAAGGCGGCGCTACAAAGTATTAACGCAAGGGGGACGAATAATATTGCACGCCCCACTTTTCAGTTTTTTATTTGTTAAAAAAGTTTGACACATTCAATAAATTTCATTCCACTTCACGATTGTGTCCCACTTGTTGATTCTTCACAAAAAATCTAATTTTATATCTTTATGTTTGAAGCCTGAAATGTGGCAAAAGGTTGAAAAGTTCAAGGGGGCTGAATATTTCGCAAGGCACTGTATACATATGCAAACTTTTTTGCTTTTAAATTTGTGGAATTCATGCTTCAGAAAACAGGAATTGATATTTTAGTTCATAATTTGCCTAATTTGGTCAATAAATAAAATGCCATAACACCATTTTTATACCTTTTGTTACTGAGGTTTACAAAGAGGGCATCTTCAAGTGTTAAATTAAGTAGTTTTCTATCAAACCTATTGAATTTATTGACTTTTATTTATTTTTTTAAAAACTGCTGAACAGTCTAGAAGAAGTGATTCCACATTTTCTGGTCTGGATTTGGAAGCGGGTTAACATCGGAGTAACGGATGTGCCTCAACGGTTGAACCGCTTTCTTTTCTTAGACATGAAGACATTTGTGCAGAAATGTTCTCAGAGAATTAAGACTTTAAAAAATGGCTGCAGGGTGGAACATCAGAATGTCCTCAAAGTGAAATCTGGATGGGACTTCAGCGTAAGAGGACGAGCACAGGAGAAACAAGGTAAGTGATGCAACAAAAATACTGCAATTAGATATTAATGTGGAGTTTTAATAAGACCACTTCATCTAAAATACGCTGCATGACAAATGTCCCTTTTAATCCGTCGTGTGTTCATGTGGATACTGCGTTTTCTTCAGTGTGACTGGCCCCTGAGGTGTGTGTATGCATGTGCACAGGAGTGTTCAGTGTTGACGGCTTGCAGCAGCGTGCATTCTTGCTTAGAGAGCACGTGTCCTCAGGGCTTGTTCCTCTCTCGATGACCTCTGGTGAAGCCATTATTTTCTGCATTAATGATGAGCAGCAGCAGCCAGAGATGAGAGAGATGGACTTTGTCCCGAGGCGGAGGAGCGCGTTGATTGTGGGCCACGTCAGAAAAAGAAAACTCTTCCCACAAGCAGCTCAAACAACCAAGTGATGAAAAATAAGCTGTAATTTTTTTTGGACATTATAGATTATTTCTGTAAGTGAAGTGATCAATATAACTTTCTTAGCAATTTGGCTCCTGCCAACTACCGTACAATTAAATTCCAACTAGAAAAACATTGAAGTGTATGGATGCATGGGCCAAGATTAAAATATATAAATTATAACGTCTTAATTGGAAACAATCAGCTCAAACACGAACCTGCAACAGAACAAAGTGCAGTTATTCTTTTCAAGACGCCCACTCAGGAAATCCTGGCTGAAGGAAGACGACTGTAAATGAAGGACTTTAGCATTCACCATTATGTCTTTGGTAAGTCAGAGGGAACCCCCCCGGGGCTCCTCAGCACAGCACGGCACAACTTTTCAAAGGGCTCCAGATTAAAGTCACTGAAAGTTCCCACTGGGGTCTGAGGCCAGGATCCCATTAAGCAGCCCAACCGCACCGCCGGCCATAATTGTGTCGTCGAGAATTCAGAGCAGCGGTTGCTTGATAAGCGAATTTAAGGAGAAATAAAAAAAAGCAGAGGCTAAAAAAAAAAAAGAGAAAAGAAAAAAGCAAAGGGGGTTTGGGGGTCTTGGGCGACCATTAGGACCTTCATTTGCGCACCACTAATTTGTTTTAAATGACTGAGGGAAAGGTGAGAGCTTTATAAAGCAATCAAGCCCACACCATTTTCAGGTCTGTGTGACAGAATGCTGATAAATGAAAAACATTACACTTTATAGCCAAACACTCCACTGCTGCTAGTGTTTTTATCACAGTACTTGCTCTGCAGTGGAATAATCAATACTGTGACTTTGGGTATTTTTCAGTTTCCAAGTCCTTCCAGCCTGTTTTGTGTTACAAGGCTTGACGGTGATTTTTATGGGCTTCTACGTTGATAAAGCTACTAAAGCCATGTGGCATACAGCTAAGGGCACTGATGTGGTAGAAAATGTACAAACAAAAATCCACTTTTATTGATTATTTAGTTTCAGTATGCTTTTGAATGTTGGAATTTATTTCAACATTTGAGATTCTGAAGTTTCTGAGACTTTTGGTGAATAATAACAAAACTTTTTGTACACATAAAAAAGATCTAAACCCCAACTTGAGAACAGCTCAATGAAAAGTTTGGATAAACATACTTATACCCAATCAGTAGGTGTGTTCAGATATACTCAACTGAACAACCTGCTATTCTTTCCGACTGGTACAGCAACAGTTATGCAACATCAGCCACTCTCAAGTTATGATTCAGGTCTTTATAGTGAGATCATCGATAACCCTCTGAAAAATGCTACTGCCATGCAATAAAGATTACATCAACAGCTTCAAGAGGATTTTTTCTGCTTCTTCTTCTCTGCCTCTTCTTCTTTTTCCTTCTCAATCTCAGCCACCAGAGTCTCAATCTCCTTGGATTCCAAAATCTATATATGTACAAAACAAATAGGAGTTAGCAAAAGTGTGTTTAAAAAAAAAAGAAGACAATTTTAAGCATTGCTTACTTTAAGTGGCTGGTTTCGTCTGATCACAGCAAGTTCAATATTTTTTCCTCCAGACTGGACAACCTGTGGCCAGTTACAGACGAATTATCCTTTTTGTTCAGCAAATTATTTTCATTTGATCTTTAAAAACAAAAAAAGCCTATCGCTTTATGTACCTCAAGCAAAGCCTTAATTGCCAACTTGATTGCCTCATTGTCCCCAGCGATGGCTTCCTCTGTGTAATTCTTCTCCAAGAACTCCCTCACAGTTTTTGCACTACGGCCGATCGCATTTGACTGATTATTTCATTAACAAATGGAAAAAATAAAAACCAGTGATAACGGTTAGATGGATACAACTGTTAACTATCTAAAACCAAACAACAGTAGGAAGTATGCAGGGCAAAATTACGGACCTTCCATGCGTGGTAGGTTCCTGACGGGTCTGTCTGATACAACCTGGGAGTTCCATCGTAGTCAAAACCAACGATTAAGGCTGAGATTCCAAATGGTCGGCGGCCATTGCTTTGAGTGTAGCGCTGCAATAATAACAAAAAAGAAAAATCAGCATTAAAAACATGTATCATTACAGTGTTTCCCCTATATAACGTGCCATGGTGAGGCGCTCATCTTGTCTGTGATTTTTGACTGGGGCGAGGGGAGAAGACACGTCTGAGCTGCTCGCTGTACCAACAGTTCTTGAGCGGGGGTGTGGGTAGACAGAGACACATCTGAGCCGCGAGCTGTTTGTACCGGCAGTTTTCGAGCAGTGGAGGGGACAGAGACGCATCTTGTACAGACAGTTTTCGAGCCTGAGTGCTGCCTTTAGCTTTATAGCTAGCGCGCCTTGTGCAATACAACACGAAGCTACGTCAGTGCCGACGGGTGGGAGTGGGGTGCGCTTAGTTCAGTAGATTCGGTTGTGGTAGGGGAAACACTGCATTAATAAAATTAGAAAAATCCAGCAACCAGGAAGCACAATACATACACAAAAAAGATTCTTGGCCTCTTAAAAGTTATATTGATTCTTCTTAGCAAGCGAAAAGTAAACTTTAAGTTAACCGTGAAAGGCTAACGTACCTGTTTCAGGGTAGCTATGTAACGTGTGATGTATTCCACTGTGACAGGATCCTCCACTGTTAGCCTGTGGCTCTGGCACTCAACCCGTGCTCTGTTTATCACAATACGAGCATCTGCTGTCAGACCTTAAAAGCAATGAACAAAAATGACATAAAATTAAAAACAGTAGTGGTAAATGAGGAGGAATTTTTTTATTATTAAATAAAAAGAGTAATATTTAGTAACAATGTGCAGTAGATCTTTGCTTTGGTTAAAGTTTGGGTGAAATCAGACATTTTAAAAAGGTACCTGCAAATGCCATGCAGACGTGCTCATCTAGTGCACAGATCTTGCGGACAGTTCTTTCCTCTTGCAACTTTGCAACAGATTTCTTCTCCACGCCGAGGACAACAATGTCTTTACCCCTGATTCCCACCTGCACAAGGAATACAAAACTAAAATGTTATCATCCCTTAATAATGCATTCCAACAAGTTCATTCATTCAACATTTATTTATATTCCCGTCGAGTCTCAGGGACTCATTTACAAGAGAGACCTGATTTTAACAAAGAATGATGACAACAGTAGACAATCATAAAAAGCATACAAATTGAGAAGTTGGAAGAAAAAGTGTTCATTTGTTAAATGGACTGTACTTATATAGCACCTTTCTATCTGATCAAGATACTCAAAGCGCTTTACACTACAATCTGTGCTCTCATTTACCCATTCATACAGCACTCTACTAGATCTCTACAAAGCTAATTGAACAAATCATTCTAAAGAGACTAATCAGAGCTTTATCACATTCATACACTGATGGGACGCACATCGGAGGCAGTGAGAGGTTCAGCGTCTTGCCCAGGGACACTTCGGCATGCGACTGCTGGTGGAGTCGAACCCCCCAACTCATGCATTGAAGGACGACTGCTCTAACCACTCAGCCACAGCCGCCCCTTTGTTAACAGCAAATACCATAAATCCAAAATAAATTGAATTAACAGTTCAGGCCTTGTTGAACCCATTTGTGTCTGTGGAACTGGTTTTAAATTTTTATCAAACTAACGTCACCATTCAGCAAAATCAAGAAATAAACTACATTTACAATTATGCAAACAAATCCCCAAAAAACTCAAGAAGTACTTACATTTAAAAAGTAATCTAACAATGTTAAGGGCAACTTTTAATCATATATGCTGTTTATATTGCTTGTAATAGTAAACATCTGCCAAGTATTTTCCTCATCTAAAAAGGCCTTTTCTTACTTTGCTCCTGGAACACCTTGCAAAAAGATCTGAAGCTGTCCAGTTTGATTTCTTTGAGCTCTTAAACAATTTTTAGCGTCAATAGAAAATCTAAGCAAATATGTTCTTGTTTTTAGTATTTTACTTTGTTTTATATTGCATCTTGATTTGACTGTTTTTATATAACTACTTTTATTCGATTTTAATTGCTTTTGTTGAATTATTGTTGTCTGCATTTTATATGTTGTTTGTCTAAAACCATATCTTGTAAATGAGCCCTCATGACTCAATGAGACTAACCTGTATAAATAAAAGGTTAAATGAATGAAAAAAAAAAAAATCTGTAAAATTGAGTGAAATTTGAAACACCAAAATGCACTAGGCCCATCTGACCCACAAACCCTGGAGCTGTGTAACAAAAATATGAATACCAATACAAGGAAGGGATGAATAAAAAAAACATCATAGCTTACTCAATGTCTGTGTTTTCACTCCAAGTCAGGTTCATTCATGTTCCCCAGTTAACTCTTATATATGAAAATTACTTTTATTCAAATAAATAGTGAGCATTTAAAATAACCTCTGTGTTTCTGTGTACGATATAGCAACTGTAGCCTGAGTTTTAGCAACTGTAGTCTGAGTTTTAGCTACTGTAGCCTGAGTTTTAGCTACTGTAGCCCGAG